ATGAGCCTATGATGCAGATATGTATTGAGTGAAATGTTGAGAATTTTTAAATTAATTAATAAATGAAAATTAATTAGTAGTAAAATAAACGATAAAGACAACAAGTCTTTTTCGAGGTAATACTGTCCTCATTGTCAAGTCGAAACGTCGTAAAAATCACTTGTTGTCTTTATCGTTTATTTTACTACTGATTTCAAAACCACTTTTGATTAAAATTAATTAATTTAATTTATTTATTTATTAATTTATTTATGTTATATTTTTTAAGACTTAAAAGTCTTAATCAATATATAATATGGAATGCATATTATTGATCAAGACTTATATATTCAACCAGTCACTCGATGTACACCCGATACAAATGTTGCCAATTCAATCACYATAGGCCCCGTCCACATTAGTCCAGAGATTTTTCATCCGCAAATGTTTCATCTGGATACAGACAGCTTCCACATGTGTCCACGCTTGGCATTTTCACAGTGTCTCCGGAGATTTCTGTACACGCTTTCCATAGAATACGTATGGATGCTCGTATGATTTTTTTTTTCTTGGGCAAAATGACACCAAAGAATGCAATCTGCTTGAACATTTGCCAGTGTATATGTATAACTCATCTAACCTCCACCGCAGCAGAAAAAAAGAGTTGCCTGAGGAGGAGTCTATAACTCACCTTAGTGCATAGAATGCCTTTATCAAAYAAGCTGATCACAACACGTTCAAAGCTCTCCAGCTCAGTGTTGTACGTCACTTCYCTTTTGTCCATTATCAAATCAAGCAGAAACAGAGCATTTTTCTTTGGTCTAAGCAAATAAAAACACAAAAATCAAATATAAGCTGTATTTCTACCACCAATTTACTCTGAAAAATGGCGGTTGTTCATGACCGCCAATATCAGGGAGACTAGTAACGAATCATGGAAACGAGACATCAAAGGCCTTAATTCTAAAAAACAGCACTAATATCGCATGTAAGGCAGGGCCATAGTTTGAGGGTTGCATTGAYATGTTATTTATGACAAAACACTCTTGCAATTCACCATGGAAGTTTACTAGACGGAGACTGGCCTTTAAGACCTCGTTTTAATGCTTCGTCTCCAGTGCCCTGCCAGGGCACCGTTTTTGAAAGTCGTGAATGATGAACACAATTATATGAAGTGTTGAATTTAATTGATTTGTGTGCCGGATCCTTCATGCCATCCTCGGGAACCCAGGGGTAATCAACTGTCGTTCGTTCCTCACTCTTTGGAAAAATACCTCTGGGTACGAAGTCTGTTCGAACTTGTTCTCGATTCGAAATTCAAAATGGCGGCCAGTAAATTAATCAACCAATCAGAATGTTCGAGTGAATCACTCAAYCAATCAGAAATTTACCGGCCGCCATTTTGAATTTTGAATCCCAGGGATCATTTTTCTGGGAGTGAGGAGCAAACGACAGAAGATTACCCTGGGTTCCCGAGGATTGTATTCGACACATGTGAAGTTCGACATAGAACCAGTGKGCCTTACTTGTATGAGCTGTTGATTATATCAGACCCCCAATCAAGATCATCTGGAAGTTCTTGTACCATGTAGCAAGCGTCCTGGATGACATTAGTGAATGCAGCCAGTGAATCTTGGACGAGATATCGCAGTGAATCCTATAGACGTCATAAAGTTAAACGTCAATGTTATTAAAGGGACACTGTCAATGGATGACATGCGCAGTAACAGTCTCGCCTCTAACGGACTTTGAAAGTATTACCTTCGAGGTAAATCATTWTGTGGTGCTTTTGACACACTTTGGAATATTCTAGATMTGTTTACGTTTACGAGCTGATTTATGTCGCGCCAACTTGGAGTCATAAACTTGAAAACACTAGCCTAGTGTTTTCAAGTTTACTCGCGCATGCGTGCCATTGACAGTGTCCCTCTAAATGTCGTTATTAACAAATTCATGAAAAATGAAGAGTGCAAAGTTAGTAGTACCTGGTAAAAATTGAGTGTGAACAATGTGCAGTTTACCTGGGGGATTCAGCAATAAACGTACCGGGGATGCTCGTCGGATCTTTTAGGGGTAAAAATTCGTGATTGGGAATCTTTTAGGGTACAAATTTGGAGTTTCTGGAAATTTGCATTTTCTACAATCTCTTAGGGTGTCGGAAAAGAATAGAAAGAGCGCAACGATATTGATTTTTCTCTGCGTTTTTATCATTGGAACTAATTTAATTTTACAATGTTTGTTGTGCAATCTCGAAAGTAGGGGTTAAAAATCAGTTAGACACGCCCATTTTCCCACATTGTTTCCACTTCCAGGGATCCAAGTCATTATTAGAAAAGACTGTACCTGCATGGCAAACTTGACCAGCTCCATGAATTTGGACAACTTCGAGATCTTGTAGACCTCCCAATTCTTTTCATCCATGTTGAACCAGCCTTTACCGACATCAAGAAGACTGCTTCTTATTGCAGTTCGTAGAGTATTTAACCAGCTGTCACGTAAAAAGATTTGAACCTGAAAAACAAATGCACTTTAATAAAYATAGTAATAAATTCAGAATTCAAGAAGAGTACTGTTTTTAGTAAACGCGTGAAAAACTAGTATATGTTTTGTACTAATTTTGTGATAATTCTAATAATAACTAGTAAATGTTTTGTACTATTTCGTGATAATTCTTGTTTTCTTTTGCTCGACTTTTTTTGCACGATTTAGTGATTAGTGTTTCACGCTTTACATGTAAGTTGGAATAAATTTTTTTACACTTGATAATAAAAGATTGCAGTCTCTTTTTCTTATTTTTCATCATCATCATCATGACGGTCATCATCAATCATTATCATCGCTATCATCGTCATCAATCATAGATTATCATTACTATATCATAAATGTCATCATCGCCATCGTTATTTCAAAATAAATTGATATTATTTTAGTGACTTTCATTTATTCATGAGCCTAGAACTGTTGTTGTTGTTGTAATAGTAGCAATTAATGAAGTCGCCTTATTCGTTTCAAAATTCAAAGAGTCTTAAATATCTACCTGTGAGCTAACTTGTGCCTGAGACTGCTCAAATTCTTCCAGTTTCATGCTCTTAGTGACGGGAACTTGGAAGACTGACATGGCGGACACCTTGTTACATTCTGTGATCACTTTGCCAAGTGCAACTATTGATTCYTCTCTTGTTAGCAGGGAATTGAAGGCGAAATTGTCAAACTTTTCATCAAATGGGTAGGAAGGGACATCAGGAAAAAAACCTAAGAACATTACACAGAACAAGACCATTATTAGAGAGTTTTAGATTCATGTTTACTGCAAACCGCGACCACCATCTGAGTTTCGAACATGCCGCAACAATCGCAGGGCTGTTTACACGTACGATTTTAGTTGCCCGATAGCAAAGTGGCGATTATCGCGCTTCAATAATCGCAAGTGTAAACGGGTCTTAAATCTGTCTWATCATGCTAGTTCCCTAGTTATGTATAATGGCCGAGTTTTCACATTAAAAACATGAAGTTGTCTGTCCTCTGATATAAACACGGTCGTCAGCCAATCAGAGCGCGCGTTATATATGAAAAATTTTATAAAGTTTTATATACATGTATACCTCTCTCTGGTATGACCTCTTCWTCTTTTTCTTGAATAGTGACATATGGAAACATGTCCTTTTTGGCTGASACTACCCTATCGAAGGTGATCTTGTTCATAGTGCGGGCAAAATCTATTTGGATCTCTTTGCTTAATGCACTTATATGTTCATCAAGACTTGAAAAAAATAGAAAAAACAATAAGATGAGTGGATTTGCCCCACAAAACTGACGACTAAATCTTTGGTTGAGCTGACCCTTTACCAAAATTTCCAGCACTCATTAATTAGCGTATTGCTTGTTGGCTGTGTTTTGCTGYTGTTGTTTTCTTTTAATTTGTTTATTGGTTCATATGTTTATTTTTGTTGTTGTTGTTCATTTGTGTGTGTGTTGATTCAATGTCTTTGTTTTTCCAAGTTGCCATACATACTGTAGCCATACCCCAACAATATATTTCAATGATTATGTAAAATAAACAATAATTATCTTTACAGATAAAACATGCAAATTATGAACATTACATCTCAGATAATGCTTTGAAGGGAAGTATTATAATTTCTTAAATTTAGAAGCATAATACTTTTAGTAAAAAATGTATTTCTGTGTTATTTTGAATTAAGTTAAAATATATGTTGTGAAGACCAGAAGTCATTTTGGCAAATGTTCAATTCTCACCCTGATACGCCGCATTTGCCGACAAGCAGGAAATGCAGCCGTTATTCCAAGTGTATCGATACAATGCATTCCTAGTAATCACTTAACATGAACTTACTTTCTATCCTTTCTAAGTGTTCTTGTGTCACGTGCCCAAGTGACCATCCTATCAAGGGAGGGGTGATCAAGCTTGGATACACCATCCATAGGCATGCAGTCAATGTACAAGTTATATCGCAACAAAGCTTCAGTCTCGCGACGAAGAGCAAAAGCTCTGGCTACTCTTTCGGCAAACACCACAGGATCTTCTGCAGCAAACAGGAGTCTAATTCTTGGTACATTAAACTGGCTCCTATTGTACTTTCTAGGTCGCTTTTTAGCAGGCCGCTCATCTGTAGGAGACTGTACAACAGCTCTGACTTTGATCTCATCTGGTACAACATTATGTTTTAGTCCTTTTGTGCCAACAATTTGGACCAGGTATTCCTCTTTGTCCTTGTCGTAGCTCAGTGCACCAACATCAATCCACTCGTAGTCCCCAAATCCCTCAGCTGTTCTAGTTGTTGGTAATAAAGCTTTGCCAGGAACAGGCTTGGTTTCTCCATTCATTACACCTAGATTCATCCATTCTTCTGGAGTCCTTGAATCGTATTCAGTGTCATCAAAAATGTGTAGGGGAAGAAATGCAGGGAATGGTGCTGGTTCACCATTGGTCTGTCCAGTGAGATTGACTGACATGTTGATGTCTTCTTTAGGCATTAGGTCACATGTGTTGACGCCATAGTCTTCTAGTAGGGCATCAATGTCTTGTTTGGCATATATGCGCTTACGTCTAGAAAAAATAAAAAAAACATGCTGGTTGATGAACAGAATTTGATCATATGTAAAAGGATACTGGTAAAATAAATTTGAAGAAAGGAAGAGATAATGTAAGATAATATGACCCCTTAGTCTTCTAGGCGTACTGTAATGCCTTGTTTCAAAATAAATGTTCTTATAGATCTAGAAAATGCATGTACATGTAGTGTTATGAGTAGACTAATTTTGCCACTTAATTTATGCAAATGTCAAAAAATGCACACAAGAAAAGGGTAGAAGGAAATAAGTTGTGGAGAAAAGAAAAGAAATGGGATATACATAGGAGTTAATGAATAAACAAAACAATAAAAAAAAATACAGGAAAAGAATCTACTCAAAAGGATCAATGATAAACAAGGAAGCATCAACAGTTAGAAAGAAAACAAATGAGCAGACAAAAATAATGAAGGAATTTACCTTTCAATTTCAATTTTCCTAGGAACTTGCCCAGACTCTGTTTTGTAAGGAAGCTGGACCTTGGGYTCCCAGGCTTTGTCTGGAAAACTCTGTTTGACAACAAATAACTTAATATAACCTTGGAAGTTGAAGCTTATTACCTAAGTTTGACTCCTAGTGATTTACAGCCTCAAATGGCAAAAGTAGATTACAGTCAACTCTCTCGTAAGTGACAACCTCGGGATCAGCAAAAAGTGGCCGCTTACGAGAGATGGTCGCTTACGAGAAAGTTCTTTTTTACAGAATTTATGGAAAACTGAACAAAACGGGAAATTTAAAAGGTGGTCGCTTATGGGAGATGATCGTTTACTAGAGTGGTAGTTCAAAGAGAGTCAACTGTATTTGTAGTCAAACCTTCAATTTAACATGGACCAATCTAAGTGCATCACTGAACTTTTTTTCTAAAGATTAAACCAAGATACACATAATATGTACTTCTACGGTTAAAACCTTAACTTTGTTGGACAAGAAATAATTTATACAATTATAGAACTCACTGATACTGTGATGGGAGCAGTTGTTGGACCATGATATTGATCTTGAAGGAGATTCTTAAGAGAATCAGAAGAGGAAGGACCCTTGAATGTGTCAACTAAAAATAAGAAAAAAAAACTGTTCATTTACACGTAGTAAGCTTGGAAATTAAATCACAAATAAAATTTATTGGTTTGTATATGATCATTGTAGTCTCAATTATCCTTAAACTAACCTCTTGGTGTGTGCTTGACTTTGGCAGATTTCCAAAGCGTGCTTTGATTTGCTGCAGGTCCAACAGCAACATCCTAGAATTTTATTTGGTTATCACTTGGTGAAATAATTCATTGTATCAAGGCTCGAAAAAAATGCCTGGACCTATACAGGTCATAATGTTGTTCCAAACACTTTTTTGAAAGGTCATTATTATTTTTTTAAAGATAGTGCTGGTAAATATGTCTTTTCAAATTCCGACTTGACAGGACATTTATCAAATTGTCCTTTGACCTCCCCTTATTTCGAGCCCTGTTGTATCAAGCAGCAATTTCTTAGTTCAATCAATTAAAAGAGCTGTCAGTGCCTCCTAGGGCTAGTGTAAACAAATTGGAAGATATGAAGAGAACTAGTGAAGTGTAGACTTAGGAATAATTTTAGAGGTCCAATTCTAACTGCTTGAATGCACTACCTCACACAACATTTGTTAATCATGGGATTATAATAAGTTTGTCCCACACTGAATAAAATCTACCAATGTATGGAATATGGAATGGAGTATGGAATGCTTATAAACTTAATTCAAGCAATTAGATCAGATGCAACAAAAGATCAATGTCTGAACTGCGAGTGCTTTAGAAACATGCCACAAGATAGAAGTGTTTCTATRTTCTATTTGAGAGCTTTTCCTTATCCATGTATATTTTATATCTGCTAAGCACATTGTATTCATCAATGAGGACAGACACAAACAAATGTACTTACATGTCATTGACATTTTAAAGTGGATCTAGGGTTGGAAAATAGTCTCTTTGACTTTAATAGAACATAATGAACCAATRAGTKMATAAAAGTTCTAAAATAAATCACATGGAAATCCAAAATGCAAGGGAAGCTTCCTTACAGTAAGTACATGTACAGTTGAATACAAAAGACAAAGATTAACAAGTCAACAACCGAAATGCTTCGATTTCTAACATACATGTACTTTCTAGCAAAATAAGCCTTTACTTCAGTAGAGACAAACAGTGAAGCTAAAGTAATTTATATTGTATAAATTCTCCACAAAATACACTAGTCTGTTCTAGTGTTTTCAGCTGGAGTTTGAAGCCTAGATATCTAATTTAAGTTGCATGTACATGTATTAAACTTGCAAGTTGACTTCGGACATGGATCTTGTTATTGTGGGTTMAAAGTTATCCTTACCGACACGTTATGCTTTGCTCCTTCTGCTAAGATATCTGAATAATASCCACGTTGCTTGATATTTGGATAAGTTAGCCCTGCCGATTGTGGCGAACGCGGAGAAGCTGCCCTCCGACTTTGAGACGAGAAGTTGAGGTTTGAGTTTGGTGCGTGCCCGTTCATCCTCAAAAATTTGCACAAGATCACCGGTTGTTAAAAATCAGATTACACATTTAGACGAAGGAAGATGTAACCCATACGTTTGTTACCACTTTTGTAAATTTATAATAAGAATAAGGCAATTTTAAATACTTTTTTGGAAGTACAAACGAGCCTTCCCGCTCTATTTTGACGGAAAATTGTGTGAGTACGTTTCTATGACGACCTGGTAACTAAACATCCCGGATGACATTGAACACAGGAATCCCAATGAGCTTTGGCTCTTTGCCAGAGGTTTATTGACAAATACCATAAAGTTCAAAGTTATTGTGAGCTGTTGCTCACAAGGCTAACCATTTTTGCATACTTTTAAAACGTTAAGGAAAAGAAGAAGTAGGCGATTTTATTTTTCACGGGTGGGTTCCCTGTGTTTTCCGAAGTGGTTACAAAGCATTAGAAATATGGCGGACAGTTTATTTATTTGTTCTCTGGAATTTCTGGAAGTTTTTACTTAAATGGTTTCAAGCCTTACAGTAAAAAAAACACTAATAAGGTAAGATTCACCCAATATATGTAGACTGTAAGCAGTGATGGTTATTCAGTGATGGTCTTTAGAAGTAGACAACAACTATCCGAAATTTTCATAGCGGGAAATCACTTAAACTTATGCTTTAATGCATATTTTGACAGACGTTTTATCAGTTCTTCCCAACTACGCGATTTCAGAGGTTTTCCCGCAGAAAATAGGGAGGAGGAAACTGTCTTTAAAAACAGTTTTCGACCGGGGTTTCGAGCACGATTCTACGAGGAATTGCACTTTTAGATCTTTCGCCAAACATTCCACACGCTCTGAGGTATGTAGCACATGTGTAATAAAACTTACGCTTACTCTTTATTATACATTCATACTGTGTAAATCCAAAGAGACATTACAAACCAACAGTTTAAACCAATAGGCCCTGCTCTTTCCATTTCTGAACATCATTTTAGATATCTGATTGTTAAGGTAGGTGTGGTCACGTGACCCCCAGCTTTAAAAAGGCTGTTGAGAATGGATACATGAGGTCACAACATTCTTCGTATAAGGAAAAGCTACAATGTGACCGCTTTGAATGTCGGCTAGTAATGGCCATTCTAAGCCTTCACTTTGATAAAGTGATAAATAAACTCTGAAAAAAAGCCTGGGTCACATCCGGACAAACCACGGTTAAGTCCATGGATGTAGTTTGTCCGGTTGCGACGCAGGTTAGCTCTGGGTCGAGTATGAATATATGCAGTTAATTATAATAATGTACATCCCCAACGCTAACGAAGAAGCGCGAGAAAGCTGATTTATACATGGTTTTTGCAGATTATACATGCGTGACGATTTCCTTGATTAAAAAAAACCCTTAATCAAGCAAAGCTCTCTAAGCTTATAACAGGTTAATTCATTTCTGTTATCAAATCAACGCACTATACTCTTGCGATTGCAAATTGTATAAAGAATAATCTGGATTTGGTGATCGGTTCAAACTGTTTCAGATTAGGATTAAAAGAACCGATTGTAAAAATGCGATACGCCCAGCCCGGGCCCCGCGCTTCCTCTCCCAAGGGTGCTCTCCAAAAGATAAGAAACAAGTATCTTAGCAGGAGGTTTTGGTTTTAAATCGAAACAGGAAGTTTTTTCTTTTTTTGTTTTTGTTTTTGTTTTTTCTCGCAGCGGTATATTGACTTATACACTGGAAAAAATTGCGCGCCATAAAGGCTGTAAATTTGATGTAAATATGATGTAAGTGTCCAAAATGATGTACATTTGATGGAAATGATTTACCTTTAAAGCACGCGATTTTTTCCAGTGATAATGTACATCTTTACTTTTAATATTTCTTTACCAAGCAACGGTTTTTTTATTAGATCTTTTTTATGACACCTCTCAAGAGATGCTTTTCGGCCTGAAATTGATCCCTGCTAATAAATTTTCAAAGCAAAAATGTGTAAAAGAATACGTGTGTTTATACGAGAAAAGTATGATTTTTTCGGCGAGGCGAGTGTGCTCTAGCGAGTTGAAAAAATAAACTTGAAAACAGTGCGCACTTGCGTCATTTTCAACCATTCACAAATTGAAAAGTAATGCAATTCTCCAGAGTCTCTCACGAATTGACATCCGCTGGATGGCAAAAGTGCGGGCTCTGGGTACCAGATTATAGCAAATGCAGTGTAATAAAACGTACATTTACTGTTTATTATTTAAGGAATAAAAGACGAAATTCCGTGTTTGATACTCTGATCAAAACACGCGGGATGTAGGGAGAGCACGAGAGAAGCGTAGGAAACCACGACGCKTAGCGGAGTGGTTTCCAGCTTTTCGAGTGCTCTCCCTACATCCCAAGTGTTTTGATCAGAGTATCAAACACGGAATTTCGTCTTTTATTTCTTTTCTAAAATTACAAGAATACGAAAATTGTAAAGAATTCTGACTTTTGATACGATATGAAACGAGCGTGTTTTGATACTGTAATCAAACACGGTTTTCGACCAATCACAGCGCGCGTAGTATCCTAAATATTTTAGAAACCTTCATACTGTGCAAAGAGAGGCATTGCAAACCAACAGTTTGAAACGAATTGAGAATAGATACATGAGGTCACAACACAACCGCTTTGAATGTCGGTCAGTATCAATGGACACTTTAACGCTTTCACTTTGATATGACAAGCTCTAGAACAAATATGAATATATGCAGTTCATTAATCTACATCCTCAACGCTTTTATGTTTCAACGAGGAAGCGCGCGAGAACTGAGATTTATACTTGGTTCTTGCAGATTATACGTGCGTGACGATTTCCTTGATTAAAAAAAAAAACTTAACCA